CCCCAAAACCCCAAAACCCCAAAACCCCAAAACCCCGAATTTAAGAGAGGATTTTGAGTTAGTTTTATTTTTTATTAAGGTTAAAATGGATTCTGGTGAATTCGGAGTTGTGAAGGAACTTCTTTTACAAGTGATGGCGAGTGATAATGAGGTTAGAAGAGAAGCTGAAAACAAATTAACACAAGTGAGGCAGGCTAACTTTGACAAATACTTTGCCTACATGGTCACAGGGTTTGCAGATCAGGGGGTTGACCTTAGGGCCAGAGCCATGGCACTTATTTTGCTCAGGAGAGATATCCTTGAGAATAATCATGAAGAGCCAAGTGTATGGAGCAAGCTTACTGGCGAGACTAGAGAATATATCAAGGCTCAGATTTTAGAAGTTCTAGCAAATGAGACTGATCCTCTGATTGTTAACAAGATAGCGGAATTTGCTGCGAAAATAGCCATCGCCATCAATGATGTCAATTACAATGATATTTGGCTAGACCTATTTAATCTCTGCAAAAGGCTGATTAGTGAAGGAAATGAAACCCAAACCAAAGCAGGGTTGGTTGTGTATGCTGAAGCAATGAATGGCTTGAGTAATGAGATCGTTGTAAACGATGCTGACTTATATGCCATGTTCGAAGTGACCCTCAAGAACGAGAACATTGAGATTTCTCTTGCATCTCTAAAAGCAATCCGACAATTTCTGACAACAGTTATGCCAAAGCATGCTATACGCTTTGTTGGATTACTTGGAGATATGGTCAACATCTCAGTGAGGGCCATCAAGAGTTGAGAGTACAAAGTCTTAGAGGAATCAATGGAGGTCTTAATAGCAATAATAGAGGCTGAACCTAAGTTCTTCCTGAATGACTTCCCAGATCTCCTCCAAGTCTTCACTTCTATCTCTGAGCAGAGTCAACATTTGAACGAGACTCTCAAGAAGCTTCCAGTAGAGCTGCTAATATCAATTGTAGAGAGGGATTCAAGCCTGCTTACGAGGAATGAAGATTACTTAAAGCAAATACTTGACCTGACATTTACTCTTATTTTAGAAGAAGCAGAAAGCGACACGATCGTTTTTGGACGAAAATTCATGGATAGGCTCTGTAGTTGTGCTAGCGCGGAATACATTCTAGCACCCATCTGCACTCTTGTCAAACAAGCTGTTGACCATAAAGACTGGAAGCAAAAGCAAGCAGGGCTTAATGCTTTCTCTCAGATTGGTGAATATGTATCTGAAATTGAACAAATCAGCGAAATGATTCCAACCGTTATCGAGCATTGTAAGCATGAGCATCCAAAAGTAAGACATGCAGCAGTACATTGCTTGGGACAATTCGCAACCGATCTGAAGCATCAACTGACTGAAAACTATCATGAGGCTATAATCCCTACTCTATACGAAGCAATGAATGATAAGGTTAATAGAGTAAAAGCTCATGCTTCTGGATGAATGTCTAACTTTTTAGAGAATGCTTCTCAAGAAATTGGACTTAAATACTGTGAGGGGCTTCTTGGACATCTCTTTAAATTAATTAAGAGTGAATCTGGCTACTTAGCTGCAAATGCAGTCACATGAATTGCATCTCTTGCTCAGTCATGAGACCAGGAGTTCAATGCTTATTTTGACTCTTTCTGTAATGAACTTCTCCCAATTATTACTCAAAAAGTTCCTAAAGATTTCAGGAGGTTCAAAGGTCAGGCTATAGAGAGCCTTACTATTTCAGCTGTGTGCATTGGCCTTGATAATTTTAGATTTCATTCTGAAAAAGTGGCCAAGGCCTTGATCCTCATACTCAAGAACCACCTAGATGAAATTGGCGATCCCCAAAGGAAATATATTCTTGGGGGATTTCAAAGGCTTGCTTTAATTATGGAAAAAGAGTTTGCTCCTATATTACCTGAAATAATGCCAGATATTCTTAAAATGGCTTCTCTTTATCCTAAGTTTCGATCTACATTAAAAGTACCAAATATTTCTGAAAATTATGACGAAGACCAAGATCTAATGAATGAGGACACAAACCCAGATGAGTCAGATGAGATTGAAGAAATAGACATAATAACCCAAATTCTTTGTGTGTTTATTGATGAGCTTAAAGAGCTCTATGCTCCATACATAGAACAAACTTCTGAGCTATTTGTTTCTCTTTCAACGTTCAGTCATTCTGATAAAGTTAGACAGAATGCATCTGAGTGCTTGCCGAAAATTCTAAAGATCGTCAAGAAATGAGAGAATGAAAATATGAGAGCCCAGTTATATGGAGAAAAATTTATTGACATTCTTTATGGAAATCTAAAAATAGAAGGAAATGTCTCTGTTATGAAGTATCAGATTAACGCAATCAAGGACTGTATTGATGAAGTTGGAGATTTTCTAAGCGAAGACCAAATTAACCAAATGAGCGAAGTATTGGTCGAAATGATCTCAAAATCTGACCGCAGAAAGGATCTCAACAACAAATTTCATAATGAGAACGGGCAAGGAGAAAGTGAAATTGATGAAATGAATAGAGGATTTTTAGATGAAGAAAATCAAGAAGAAGATGATCTTCAGATCTCGATTAGTGAAACATTCGGAGTTATTTTCAAAACTCATAAGAACAAATGTGGGGTCTTGGCTTCAAACCTACTAAGCGATCTTGTATCATCTTATATTGATGAGAATGCTTCATTTGCTAAGCAGAAATTTGGAGTTTACTTGATTTGTGATGCTGTTGAGTACCTAGGACCAGATATTCTAGGAACTAAATATCAAGATTGTTTGAGTACTTTTGTTAGATTATCAAAATCAACAGATCCCCTAGTCAGACATGGAAGCGTTTATGGGCTTGGAGTTTCTTCCATCACAGGAGGAGATCTATTTGCTCAATATTCTGTGGATGCTCTTGAAATTCTTAAAGAAGCCATCGAAATGGAGCCAGGATCTCAAGATATTTCATATTACAACCATGCTCGAGATAATGCAGTCTCTGCTTTCGCAAAAATATTAAAATATCAGCATGCACCTATTGACACAGAAGCTGCATTTGAATATTTACTCCAACACGTCCCACTAAGACACGATATGATTGAATCCAAACTCACCACCAACTTCATAATCGACACAGCCCTAAACAACCCTACCCTATTCACCAGCAACGACCACCAAAACACCCCTCAGCTCATCACTTTCATCCAAAACCTCTCCACCTCCAGCCTCGCCTCCACCACTCTAACCAACCTCCAACTCCTCCTCTCCTCCCTCTCCTCCGACCCAACAGCCCACAGGCTGCTCTCTGACGCAAACATCTCCTTACCGCTCCAGCACCCTTAAAGCTCTAATACGTAGTCCTAAGTTGTTTTATTCAGCCTAAAGTTGAATTTTGGGGTTTTGGGGTTTTGGGGTTTTGGGGTTTTGGGGTTTTGGGG